ATCTTTCTTCTCTTTGCCCTGACTCTCCCTGTTAATCTGATGTACTGATGCACTTTTTTTTTTTTTGTAATCTGACACTATAGCATCACTTATGCTACTTCCTTCCTATGTTTCCCATTTCCATTCCTCCTTCTTTCCTAACCTTTCTGAACTTTGCCCTTGGGTAAATGCTGTCCCTTTGATTGATCATTCTAAGGTATGCATACATACCTCCTAGTGCTATTACTGCCTTTAACACTTGACTGAAATTTTACCTGGTGTGAGAGTTCAGTTCTAGACCTGGAGGGTTGCTGAGGGCTGACCTGTAAGCCTCATTTTTTTATGATGTTGAGTTTTGTTCCACATTTTCTCCCACTCTGTCTAGGACCTTGTAATGTGATCCCTTCCAGAGCAGTTAGTAATAGTTGTTGGGCACCATCTAGTTCTTCGGATACTCATGTGGTCCATTAGTCTATTAGACTAATTACTGTGCCTTTGATTTTCTTCACTCTGCTTCAGAAGGGGAGAAGACTTTTAAGTCTTCAGTCACTACTTACCAAAGTAGGATGTAGAACATTGTTGTTGTGGATTATGTTAAGCCAATTAACTTTGGTGCCCCTGAGACCATGGTCCTGAGCCCCTTGTCTCAGCAGACGTTTGGTTATGTCTAAGAAGTTTCTATAACTTTGTCCTTGTATGTTCCACCACCTTCAGGCATATATTTGCAGCATAGGTAATTACACATGGAAAAATATCTCCTGTCCATATTCATGAGTTTCGTTCCACTCTCCCACACCTGTTCAGTGTATCCATCCATGCATCTGTGGAAGATTATGTCGATAACAGTATTTTATCTCTGTTCCCTTTGAACTCTTGCTTTCCTCCCAGTTTTGTCCCCTGCCTCCATCATTTTTTCCCAGCTCCCCTCTTCGTATATCTTGCCTTCCCCATCACCCAAGTTAATATGTGTCTACCTTCTAGTTAGTGATTTACCTTGATGTACTTTTATGTGGGTGGAGAGACTTATTTACCTTTTTGTTCTCTTTGATTTTTTATTGATCCTTTTGGCATCTGTTTGCTCTCATGAGGACCCTTTGAGAGCCAGAGTCCTGCCCAGACCTCTGGAGATCACTCCAGATACTGCAGTGCACCCCTGAGCTTATGAGCAGCAGCCACTTCTGGGATGGGGACTCTTCTCAGTAGAAAGAAGTAATGAGTGATGGTGACATGCAGGGCAAACCAGGGCTTTCATCGATCACTCAGAATGTGCTTCCTCCCTCAGCAATTTCTTGCCTTGGTATTCATCACATTGCAGAAGGCCCCCATTGATTCTCCATTATAATATTACAAATGGGAAGGGATTGTAATGAACACAGCAACATGGCTTTAATCAGAAATACTCCAACCATGGAAGCAGCCTTGTCTGATGATAAATATTCCCTTCCGTGCCCCTATCTCACAGATCCAGAGCTCTCACCATGTGCACTGTATAGAACAAAGAGATTGTAGTCTAGAGCTGACCTGACACAGTGTGCAAGGACTGAGGACTGCTGGGCATTAAAATATCTTCCTCTCGGGAAATGTTAAGCAGAAGAAGGAATGTAACACAGGAGGACATTCAGCTCCTATTCTATCCCTGCGTCAGTAGCAGATGATGCCAAAAACAAAAGGAGGAGTTTGCACCCCTGCCCTTAAGGATGGGAGAAGAACACATTAAAGGCTCTGTAGGGTCAGAGGTCTATTTAGTTGTGGTGGGAGAAGACACCATTTGGGATGAATAAACTTAGGGAAGTAGGTGTTCCTAGTGGAAGTTACAAAGCATTAAACCAGGGGGGTGAGAAAGCAAAGCGCCCACTCAGAGAATAACCTGCCATCTAGTTTGGCTGTTACCGAGGGCACATTCAGTAGCACATTTGGAAAGGAAGAGAGAAAAGGAGGTTGGCTTGACCATAGTCCTACTCTCATTCCCTTTTCTTTCTTTTTTTTTTTTGAGAAATGAGCCAAATGCTTTAGTGTTGGATTCACACGGCTTTGGAGATGGGGGGCAGGAGGGACCAAGGCCAAATTCTCAGTGGGGGTGAGCCTGTCTGGCTGATTTCCACAGTGAGGAACGGGGAGCATTTCTTTCTTGCTGAATTCATTTATCCCCAAAAGAAGTATCAGAAGTTTACCATCCCCCAATGATTGGACTCCTGATGTGGCACTGTGGCATAAGCACTGGACTGGATTTAGATTGCATCTGTGTTTCCCTCCAGAGCAATCATTACAGGGTCTAGGGCATGCTGGGTGCACAGGGACAGGTAGATGCAAAATGAGCTTCCTGTGGTCTTCTGAAAATCGAAGGGAGATCTCAATCAGGTAAAGACCCACTTCTTTCAAAAAACCACCAGATCAACTCACTCGCCCGATGAGTCTTGTGGCTGCTACTCAGCTTCCCTCTCCTGTTAATAGCAGTTGGCATGGGTGCTTTTGTTCTGCACATGTTGGTGGTCTGCTCTTTGAGATGCACATTGGTAGAAGACAAGGAGGGTAGCAGCCCCAGTGTCTCTGCTCTCCCATGCTGGGGTCTGTGGATCCCTGTCGCCAGGCTTTCTAGTTACTCAGCTCCTTACACATGCAGCTGCTCCTCTGCGGTTTCTCACACTTTTGGGATCTCACATTGAACCCCACTGCTCATCGGTGGTAGAGTTGTGCTCTTAACACCACTCACCCAAGGGATTTGGGGTTTTCCATTTCTGGGAGCCAGTCACTTCCACGTTTGCAGGTCTTGGTACCTTGGGACCTCAGCTCTATCCATCTGGGCTGTGGCTCTTCATCGGGGCCAAGGTCCTGGCCCTCGATTGTCAGCCCAGACCATCTTTCTCTTCGCTTTGCCCCAACGGCAGCCTCTTATTCCCTTTTTAGTGCTAAGACCCTGTCAAGGACTATATTGTAGAAGGATCTTTATGCTTATTGCAGGAGCAGATGCCCCTGATAGATCCTGGTCTCAGCTAATATTTATTTATTTATTTATTTCTGTAACATCAGATGCAAGGGCAGATTGGATTTAGATTTCCCTTATTTGCTCAAAACACCCATGGATCCTAGAGACCCCAACCACTGAAAGATCTAGAAGCCCAGAGGCTCCATGTCTCCTCACCCCACCCCCTGACCTATATTCTGTGTCTGAGGTTGGCTGAGGTCTCCTGTATGGGGAGCAGGGGAGGAAGGAAGAGAAGCTGAGGGTTCAGATCCCAAGTCTCCAGCAAGAATCTCTACTGATAGGCGGACCTATCAGTAATCACAGGCACTTCATGTTGTTGTTGTTAAGTGCCGTCGAGTCAATTCCAACTCATAGAGACCCTGCATAGGGTTTCTGAGGAGTGGCTAGTGGGTTTGAACTGCCGACCTTGTGGTTAACAGTCCAGTGCTGATCCTACAGCGCCACACCAGGACACCAGGCCCTTCATAGCAGTTCCCATTTAACACTGACCTCCATCCTCTGAGTCATCAGCAAAGGGCCAGGATGGACCACCACCTTGTAAGTTAGCATCTTTAGTCCAGTTTCCCTAAGGGGTAGTTTCCACTTTCTCCCACAGACTCACTATAAGTTGGAATCGACTCAGTGGCAATGGGTTTGGTTTTTACAAAATCTTTAAAGAAACAGATCAACAGGTCTTTTTCTTATGTGGGGTGGGTGGTGGATTTGAATCACTGACCTTTCCATTAGCAGCTGATCACTTAATCATTATACCATCAAGGTGGTAATGACCAAAGAAGTTGGTTTTTGAAGTTCCTGCAGCAAGATTAGATGATTAGATAGGAAATTCTGGGAGCAATGAGTTTATATCAATGGGAAAGAAACAACTTGGAAAAGGAGGTTTACAGTGGTTGTACAACTCAAGGACAATGCAATCAGTGTCACTGAATCAGACCTGTTGTTGTTATGTGCCGTGGAGTTGGTTCCAACTTATAGCAACCCTGTATAGAGTTTCTGAGGCTGTAAATCTTTACGTGAACAGAAAGCCTCATCTTTCTTCCACAGAATGGCTGGTAGTTTTGAACTGCTGACCTTAAGGTTTGCATCCCAATTCAGAACCACTACACTACCAGAGCTCCTTAATCGTACTTGTGTTGTTAAGTGCCGTCAAGTCGATTCCGACCCACAGCGACCCTGTACAGGGTTTCCAAGGCTATAAATTTTGACGGGAGTAGAAAGCCTCATCTTTCTCCCACGAAGCAGCTGGTAGTTTCGAACTGTTGACCTTAAGGTTCGCAGCCCAATTCATAACCACTGCGTAGACACTGTTAAATTGGTGTATAGACTGCTGTGTATGTGCATTCTCAACAGCAACAAAATTACTACTATTTTTAATTAATTGAATGTGGAACTGCTTTTGGCTTTTTAATTTGGCTTCTCAGAATCCTTGGAATCTATCACCTTGCTTGTTTTTTTAAAACCACTGTGAACAACCTAAACCTGCACCAGCCGTACTCCCCGCTCCCCCCCCCCTTTTTTTTTAAGTTTTTATTGTGAACTGAGTGATAGTTTACAAGGGAGAACATTGGCTTTACACCGTCATTACATTGCAGTGATTACAATCTCCTTTGTGCATCATCATTCAACAGTATTTGCTTCTACTCCCTCTGTGGTTTTGTTTTTGTGTTTTCATGTACACAAAACCACTCAGGAATATATAATCATTTAAACAACCAAAGACCATGTTCTGTAAGCCTGCATCCTAGCCACCAGCACACAGTCTTTCTCTTCAATCAGCATATTTCCATGTTATATTGTGTATCAAGACTTCATTCCTTTATGACTGGTACTCCATTGTGTGTATGTACCACATTTGCTTTATACTTTAATCTTTTTTATTCACATGTGTTTCAATATGAAAAATAAAATGAATGCAATTCTAATGAAATGTAGCCTGGATGGTACAGTTGATTGTAGTTCCTTGCTTTCAGTCAGATGGGGCTCTGGGGAAACGGGGTTTTCAAGATCTCTGAGGGCCCTTCATGTTGCTTTCTTGTTTCAGGGAGTAGCTGAGGCTGAACTGGAAAAGAACCTGACTCGGACTTTCAAAGGCATATTCAGAAGACATGAGGAGGTGAAGGGTAGGGGATGTGGGATGGCAGGAAGGGGCTGGATATGCATGAAGTCAGGGCTGTGGCCGTGAAGGTCTTTGAGTGGCTTCTATCTGAGGTTTGAGGCTTGGCAAGATCTGGGAATTAGTAACTAGGCCTTCTTTTCTTTGACTTACGTGGTCAGAATTAGAGTCTTCATTAATGAAGCCAGTGGGAAGCCCACTTCTTCACTGTCACACACAAGGGCTATGAAGTTAAGATCAAAGAATCATTATAGTAATGATGATTTGGAAATCATACTGTTGTTACCATCAATATTTTATTACAAGGGGACTTCAAAAGGTTCATGGAAAACAACCCATTATTTTTGAATTCCATTTTCCACAAACTTTTTGAAATCCCCTTGTATGCATAATTGACTTATCATAGTCCAAAATTAACATCTCTAACCCTTATCCTAAGGAGTTCCTGGGTAGCACAAATTACTAAGTGCTCAACTACTAGGTGAAAAGTTGGTGCTTGGAACCCACCCAGAGGCAGACCTGGAGATCTGCTCCTAAAACATCAGGCTTTATAAATCCCATGGAGCTGTTCTGTCTTGCCTACATGGGGTTGCCATGAGGCAGAATTGGCTCACTAGCAACTGATGATGACAAACTCTTGTCTTGAAGCAGCCCAAGAAGCTCCAGATGCTTTAACTCCAATAGCCTCCACCCTCCTGTCTTACATATCATTAGTCATCACCACCTCTGTGGATGTATTTTCAATGCTTACTTAGATTAGCCTACGTTGTCATGTGTCTTTGCTGCCTACTTACATCTCACTCCTTCGTGTTGCCTTCAATTTCTGTCTTCCTGAACTGCTTTCTGTCAGTAGGGATCTGTGAGTTGCAAACTCATCATTTTTTTTCTGGAAATATATTTATTTTACTTTAATCTTAAAGACTAGTTTATCTGAGTATAGACTTCTCAGCTGAGATTTACTTTTTTTTGCTTTTTGCTTTTTAGAAGCTTGTTGTTTATGAAAACCTACCTCAGCTATACCTTCTTATATACTTGTCTTTTCTCTGATTCTAACCTGCAGTTGGTGGGATGCTGTGGGTTAATGTGCTGGACTGCAAAGTCGGTTTGAACTGCAAGGTTGGCAGTTCAAGCTCACCAGTCACTCCTCAGAAACCTTCTATGGGGTCGCTATGGGTTGGAACTGACTCACCAGCACTTAACAACAACAATCTGCAAATGAAGGTGCCGTGGTAGCATAGTGGTCCCACGAAGGGCTGCTAACCACAAGGTCAGCAGTTTGAATTCCAAGTGCTTTGAGGCAGTCGGCTTAATTGAAAATTCCAGCCTTGGAAACCCTATGAGACATTTCTACACTGTCCTATAGTGTCGCTATGACGAGTAGTCACCTGAAAGGCAATGGGTTTCATGGAGTTTACATTGCCAAGACCCGAAGGAGAAAGATGAGCCTTTATGCTTCTGTAAAGATTTACAGCCTCAGACACCCTATACAAGCTCACTATGAGTCGGAATCAACTCCTTGGCACACCACCACTACCAATCTGTAGATGAAATGGGTCCCGGTGGCACAGTGGGTTAAACATTGGCCTGCTAACCCAAAGGTCAGCAGTTCAAACCTACCAGCTACTCCATGAGAAAGAGACTTGGCAATCTGCTTCTGTAAAGATTTACAACCTTGGAAACCCTATGAGGGCATTTCTCCTCGGTATTGCTCAGATTGCTTTGAGTCTGAATACACTTGATTGCAATAGGTTAATCTGCAGTTTCACCCATTTTGATATATCCTTTTTAATTTCAATTAACCCTTTTTTTATTTATAAAGTTGTATTTGGTTCTTTTCAAATCATTCTGGTCTCCTGTTCTTCTTCAGTGTCTTGTTTTGTTCTTGCTTTTCAATTCCTTCTTTTATGTCTTTAATAATTTTAAACATACTGATGTTCATGCTACAGATTTCTAAAAGTTCTATTATTTGCTGCTCTTGTGGTCTTATTTTACTATGTCCTTTGTTTGCTGCTTCTTGCTGATAGGGCCATGGGGCTTTTTTGGTTTTTTTAGGGGATTGGGGGTATTGTAATTTTGAATTGTGAACTCATTTTTGACAGCACTTAATCTGTAACAGTCTGCTTCAACTTTGATTGAGGAAATGACCCTCAGGAGAGATTGGGCATTTGCTTCAACCAGACATCCGGGTGGCATTACCAGTCTAGCCTCACTTTGTGATGGTGCTGGTTTATTCTCCTTGTTGTTGTTGTTAAGTGCCGTCGAGTCAGTTCCGACCCATAGCCACCCTGTATGGGGTTCCGAGGAGTGGCTAATGAGCTTGAACTGTAGACCTTGCAGTTCAATTCGACTTTGCAGTCCAGCGCATTAGCCCACAGCGCCACACCAGGACTCCTTAGGAGTTTCAAATTGTGCATATAGTGTAAATCCAAACCCTTGTGAAATACTTGTGAAAGCAGACTTATAGCTATCACTTCCCAGGGGAGCATTTTCTGGTTTTCTCTTAGAACCAAGTTGAAACAGGCAGGTGCTTAAAATCTCTCTGTCCCATTTCCTTTGACCTCTGGAGCTGTTGAGACAGGTGGATTTTTCCTAACACACCCTTTCACTGTGGGTACAGCAGTTCAGTGGCCTTAGATTTCCTGCATTTACTGTGAAGGGGCTAGGAGTATCTCATTTCTAACTTCCTACCCTGGTGTGGCACTGTGGGATAAAGTACTGAACCGCAAGGTCGGTTTGAACCATAAGGTCGGTAGTTCAAACTCACCAGCCGTTCCTTGGAAACTCTATACAGGGTTGCTATGAGTCGGAAACAATTTGGCAACACCATCCTGGTGTGGCACTGTAGGATAAGCTAACTGCTAACCACAAAGTCAGTAGTCCAAACCCACCAGCTGCTTCTCAGAAACCCTACACAGGGTCTCTTATTGTTGGACCCCACTTGACAGCACTTAATAACACCACCCACCATGGACCTAAGTAAGGTCTTATCTCTTGTTCCTAAATTTGCCAGGATCCCTGGTGGAACATGGCTAAAGTACTAGGCTGCTAACCGAAAGGTTTGCAGTTTGAACCCGCTAGCTGCTCCATGGGAGAAAGATGAGGCTGTTGGTTTCCATGAAAATTCCAGCCTTGAAAACTCTATGGGGCACTTCTATTCTGTCCCATAGTGTAACTATGAGTTGGGATCAACTGGAAGGCTATGGATTTAATGAGTTTTACATTGCCAAGATCTGCCAGTGCCATGGAGCAGCTCTGGTCTGGCTCTCAGAGACCTTTGCTTGCCAAGTTCCCACTTTGCTTTGACCCCTGAGGTTTTGTTAAACTCTCTTTGGAGTTTAGCAAGCATATATCATTATAGCAGTTTTTTTTTTTCATCTAAAAGATTTTGTAGATCTTTTGTTGGTTAGGGGTCATCAGATGACCTGTTCCAGTATATTTCCTTCACCTCACCAATGACATTATTTATAACTTTTCTCCCTACAGTCTTTGATTGCCACAGCTTCCAAACTGGGTAAGAAACATTCTTGGAAGAGAAGGGAGGTGGAGGGTATAATAGGAACATGCTGAACACTCAATGAGTTTTTCTCCCCTGGGCAAACACCAACACCTGCCATACCCCACATAGGTTTCCCAGAGTGGAACAGTCCTCACCCCCAACTTGGGCCAGACCACACAGCCCCTGGTACCTTACTTTTAGGGAGCTCTGCACTTGAGATCTTAAACAGTAAGAGAGAGGAGGAATCAGAGACTGGGTTAGACAAGTAGCTTTTAAAATAGTGAAGGAGCTAAACCAAGAGTAGTTTCATCCTCAGCAGCATTTCCACCTTTAAACACACACAGCCCTCCTGGAGTGTAGGCAGTGCTGTGGACCAGCGTCCTCTTGTTCATCAAGCCCATTTCAAAGGCTGACATCGCCCTTTATCTCAGGCCTGTACTCACCCTTGCTGAGTCAACTATGGAAAATGCTCTGGACAATTCAGTTTGATCTAGGTGCTTTACGAAGGGGCTTCAAATAAAATTCTTGGGGGAAAAAATCCATTATCTTTAATTCCATTTTCCTATGAACTTTTTGAAGCCCACTCATTTCCTCCCCACCCCACCCCCCAAATAAGAGAAAGAAACTGCACCACTTGGGATAAACAGCTGTTTGCAGAGCTGGTTACTGTTGGGATCTGTAGCATAATTACCTACTCAAGCTTTCTTTTAGTCTTCTCTGAATGCTCCAACCCCATACCATAGACCCCCCCTTAAACTGGTATCAAAACATGGACAGAAACTGGCTTCTAGGAAGCTTTGGATTCCAGATCTTAAACTTTAAGAGCTTGAAGGAATCTTAGAGATTACCCAGGGCAGCCCCACCCTCCACTGATAAGAACAGGATGGAACACTGCCTTCTCCTGTATCTCCTGGTGCAGAAAAGGGGGGACTAGGACCAGACCCCAGCTTGACCCCCACAGCCTTGGTCCACTGGTCTCACCTCCATCCATCGTTCCCTCACACAAATATCAACCTTGGTCCTTCTCCTAAGTGAGAAGACAAGAGCTATATCAGAATGAAGCGTATACTCATTGATCCAACTCTATTCCTCCTCCCACCCCCAGCACTATGTTCTTACCATTATTCACTTTGATTTTTATTCAGTATTATGCTAGTGTGCTTTTTCATAAAAACTGATGTCCAGGTTTTGGGGTGGTTTTTTTTTTTACTTTTTATTTTAAATTGATGGAAGATTTACAGAGCACATCATCAGTTTTACATTCAACCAATCATATGTTTCATTTCGCCTCAATGACTGCAACCACCTCAACTTCCTCCCTGCATTGCTTATTTCCATTCCTCCTCCTGTCCCCTCCCTTCTGAATTTTACCCTTAGATAAATGCTGTCCTTTTGATCTCAAGTGATTGACCATTCTATGATGTGTGTACCTCCTTAGTGTTGCTGTCCACTCTACATACCTATTTATTGCTTGGCTGAAAATTGAACCACAGGGACGAGTTCAGTTTCAGGCTTAATAGGTGACCAACAGCTATAGTCTCAGGGGTCCTTCAGTCTCTATCTGGTCTTTTTATGATTGTATTTTGTTTCAAAATTTTCTCCACTTTTCCTGGTGGCTCAAACCAACCTTGCAGTCTAGCGCATTAACCCACATTGGGGGCACCCTTCACCGTTAATCCCACTGTAATCTTTACTTGTTGTTGTTGTTGTGTAGTCCCACAGTCTGTGGGGAGGTGGACAAATAGTAATGATGCAGGTGGAGAGGCGTGTGCATGTGACAGGGGCTGAAGTCACAGGGAGATGGGGGTATCCAGTCTGATGGAAGGGTCAAGGGGCTTAGTCAGGAGGAGGTCTCACAAAGTCTGATTACCCAGCTTCTGTGCCTCAAAGGCTTCATGGGCCTGAAAAATGGTAAGATAGTATGTTCAGCACCAACATGAATAAATTCCCATTAGAGTTGTCCCCTGTGAAATGGCAGTGGTCCCTGGGCTATCAGCTGTCAGGGGACTGGGTACTGCCCAGACATGGTTTACATTCTTGGCAAGAGGACACCATGGAAGGATCTGTGAGGTGCTTCCTGCCCTCAGTTTTCTTCCAGCCTAAGGAGCCCCAAGGTTGGCAGTTCAAACTCACCAGCTACTTCTCAGAAACCCTATACAGTGTTGCTATGAGTCGGAATTGACTTGATGGCACTCAACAACAGCAAGAAGGAGCGCTGGTGGTGCTTTAGGATAAGCACTGGACTGCTAACCACAAGGCCACCCATCAGTCCCAACCCTCCAGCTTCTGTGGGAAACAGATGAGGCTGTCTGTTCCTATAAAGATTTACAGTCTCAGAAACCCTGTATGAGATCACTGTGAGTCAGAATCGATTCCATAGCAGTGGGTTAAAGGAGAAACCGAAATATCACTGAAAATCTTAAGCATCTCAGTAGAACCATCCAAAAAGAGGCATAATGAATTAAGCTATTTTAAAATGAAAATTTAGTATGTTTTTTGGAGGGCAGGGGTAAGGTTTCTAGCTGTATCCTAGGCCCTACACCCATTTTGGGCTTAGGATATAGCTAGAAACCTTACCCCTGCCCTCCAAAAAACATACTAAAAAAAGGCCTAAAACCATGTCATCCTGGAACCGAGACCTAAGTCTCTTTTTGAAAGAGGGGAGGAGTGTGGCTTACCCTGGAGTTCCTGTGTGGATAATGCATCCACCTCTAGAGCCTCTGGATTCCAGAATGATCACAAGTTCACAAGGTTGGGCCGTGAGAGGAGATGGCTCATTTAAGAAAAGGAAAAGAGAACAAATGAAGGAATACTATTATCCCCTTGGTTATAATTTCAGAAACCCCAGGGTAAATAGGTGCCTCACCTCAATTAGGAACATCGTTGTTAGAATTTAGCCCTGGTGCTGAGGATGAGGCAGAACACCAGTGACCTTTTGCAGGAGGATTAATGGTGAAAATCCCAGATGAGCCCAGTCTCAGCACAATGATAACCGAGGAGGAAATCCAGTTCTATGTGCAGCAGTTCAAGAAGTCTGGTTTCAGGTAAAGAGAGAGTGGTACCCAAATGCATGTGGGAGATGGGCAGCTAAGAGGCAGGCTCCAGCTCTCAGGAGGGAGGGGAAGACCTAACTAACTCCCTCTGCTTGGATTCCTCCAGGGTCAGGAACTCACTGTCTTGAAATGCAGCCTGCTCTAGTTTGGAAAAATCCAGCTTGCTCTACCGTCTGTCTACTGGCCCCACCCAGTGCAGAGCTTTTTAATCTTTTGTCAGTTACAGACCCCTCTGAGAATCAGATGTTAGCTCTGCTTTCTTTCTTCATAAATACACACACACAAATGTAACTGTAAAATTGTGTACATTTTTAGTGGTGGTGAGATCTTTTCTCTCTCTGTTACTATTTTTTGTAACAGCTTTAGTACCTTATAATTCACATGCCATATAATTCACCCATTCAGAGTTTAAAATTCAGTGCTTTTTATTATATTTTCACAGAGTTGTACAGCCATCACCACATTCAATTTCAGACATCTTCATCATCCCAAAGAGAAGTTCTGTATCCTTTAGCAATTATTCACCATTACTGGCCCCCACCCATCACCCTAACAGCCCTAGGCAACCACCAGTTAGCTTTCTGTGTATGGGTTTTCCTCTCCTGCCAATATCATATAATTTATACACTGTCTGATTTACACAAAGCCTTTGCTGGCTTCATTCATTTAGCAAGTTTGCAAGGTTCATCCTTATTGCAGCATATTGCAGCAGTCTTTCATCCCCTTTTCTCAGATCTATTTTTATACCACAGTTAAGGGACCCTGCTCTAGAATCATAGAGAACAACTCTAAAATCCCTCTCCTGCATATCCCTGCACATATCTGAATACTGCAGATATTTGAGGATTACATGACATCCCATGGTGGTCACCAGTCTTGAAGGCTGGCATTTTGATTATACGTCTCTCTTTACTCCCCTGTTCTTCACTCAAATCCAACGATCTGGAAATGGCCAAAGAGTTGAACATTACCTGGCTCTGACTACCCAGACCCCATGAGTTGTCACTGTGTTACAACCTTTGATATGAGCACTGCGACACCAGCTCTTTAGGCCTAACATTGTCACCACAACTTACAACTCTTTCCTATCTTGTTTTTTGTTTTTTTTTTAAAGCAAGCCCCCTGTTTAGGGGCTGCATGTACTAACAACTAAAGATACTCAGACTTAGAAATAGGCCTCATTCGATCATTATAGAAGAAGGAAAAAGTAGAAGTCTCAAAGGGCCTGATGACTTGCCCAAAGTATTTCCAGTCTCCTTCTTTTCCCTGGAGGAGCCTAGAGGGTCCGAAGGCCCAGTTGTATACCTGGCACAGCCCTGGTGCCACGCTCACCTGGGAGGAGGGCTCTCTGTATCACCTCCTGATGTCCCCCTTTCATGCAAAAAAAGTTATCCGAAGAACAGCAAATATTATGCAGGAAGAAACCCCTTTCATGGGGTTTTCTCAGGCAGAGGAGTGGCTTCTCCAATAGTGAAGGAGCCAAACCTAGAGTCATTTCACCTTCAGGAATTGCCCCACCTTCAAACACTCACAACCTTCAGGGCACACGGGCAGTGCTGTGGACCAGCTTCCTCATGTTGCTGCAAGTCCATCTAAGAGGCTGTCCCCAGCCCTCGAATCTGGGCCCTGTACCCACGCATTATGTCCTTGTTGAGACAATGCGTAACTAGAAGGCAATTCTGTGCTCTCTTCACTTCTTCCTGCATAATATTTGCTGTTCTTCGGATAACTTTTTTTGCATAGGTGATCACTATACGGGTTTGTAGCATTGTTACCTACTAAAGCTTTCTTGTTTTATTCTTCCCGGAAACCCTCCCTTCCCCTAACCCTGCCTGCAACAGAGGCCCCTTAAACTGGTATCGAAACATGGACAGGAACTGGCAGTGGGGCTGCAAAAGTGTGGGACGGAAGGTGAGTGCTAAGTCCAGTGGTGTCTCTCCAGGAGCATCCTCTGGGCTTTCTCATTGGCTTGACCTGACATGCCTTTGGTAGTCTTTTCAGTTGGGGTGGATAGACTAGCCTCACGCTTTCTCCCTTCATATGCTATTTCCTCCGGGGTTTCTGGAGGGGGCTCCACTCCAGGGTTTCTTCTTAGGATGGTTTTTTGTTTGTTTTTTGCTGGTGTTTCTCTTGAAATGGTAGAGTTGGGGCCAGAGCAGGGGCATGACCAGGTAACTGAAGCATCAATTAGAAGCCCTGATCTCCTAGGCCTTCCCTAGATCAGGGCAGTATATGGTCTGGGATAACTCCCCCAGGGATTACCCTAATGGGGACTTCCACAGGTGATGTGGATAATGGAGCCCAGGGTTCAGAGAAGGATCCTTAGATGTTCTCATTTAGCCTTTGGTTGTGTCCTTGACCATGTCAGTCCCTGCCGGGAGCCAGCCCCAGCAAATTTATTTCAAGGTTTTTTTCTCCGAAGGGGGGTGCGACATGGGCAGAAAAAGAATTACACGGAGTCAATAAGTTATGATGAATTCAAAATCTTCTTATTACATGCTTTATTCTTCTCTCATTCTTTACTGTCCTGCTCATTCTTTACTCCCCTGCTCTCCTGCTCATCTCTTCTGCTTCTTTTCTCCCTTCCCCTGCTCCTGCTTTCATTCCCCTCCTGCTTTTTTTAATCCCCTTCCATTTCTTTACTTACTCTTCACTCTCCCTTTCTCCTTTCCTTCTCTACATTACTTTCTACACTACTCCTTTTCCTTCCTTCTTACCTTCTTTTTTTATTCTATCTTACAACCCCCTTATATACCGTTACAAAAAACATTGCTTTCATAGTAATCAATGTCTTCAAAATACAATCTATTCTGAGGCACATTCTTCATGGTTTACGACCCTTAGATTTACAACAAAGATGAGAAGTTACAGACATCAAGGCATATTGAGACATCTTGGCACCTTGAAACCTTTTAGTTAAACATTTGTTCCTACATAAATCTATTCTTTTCTCTGAGAAGCAAGTTAACCTTCACATATGTTTCTTAACCTTTATCTATTAAGTCTTGTTAATTTTAGTTGTTAGGTGCAATTAACTCTCCATTAACTTCTTCCATACACTATCTGTTTATAGCTTACAAAAATATCACTTATCAGAACATTTAAAAAACTGAGGCTATGAAAAACAACTTCTCTATTACTGATCAGACTTGTTATTTATGTAACTGTAGATTCTCATAGCCCTTATCTATAGTCTAATTGTTTTTAAGAATTCTTGTACACACAGCCCTTATTTATGGCCTGGTTGCTTTTAGGAATTCTTTATTACCTTAAACTAAGGCTACAAGGAAGAATGTTTATAATCACTAAGCCTAAGCTGGTAGTAATTCAACTGACAAATCCTTTTTCCTAGTAGTCTTAAGAACATTGTTAATATAGTATTAAAACTACCTATGATTACAAGTAGAATAAAATGTAGCTAATATATGGCTTCTAACTTTTAATAAAAAAATATACTAAAGTGTAGGAGAGTCAAAATCCAAAGTAAAAGGATACTAATAAAATCATGAATAAATCAGAGAATGATTCAAAAAGAAAAAATTAACTAGGGGCCTGTGCATAGAATATTTATTCCTTGTGGCTTTGCCATCCAAAGAAAATACTTCATTGTAGCTCTGCTAAAACAATGAATTCTTCTATGCCTAGGTTTCCCCATGTCTCACTTCTTTATTTTAATTCCTCAATTAATATGTCTCAATTTCTTCATTTTAATTCCTTATTAATAAAATTCCATATTATTATTATGGCCCCTGCCAAGTCCCCTGTTACTGTTTCCTCATGTATCCAGCAGAAGTGGCAGTAGGTGAGGTGGACTCTCCTGTTCACACCCAAATATGAAAAACCTAAGGGAAACTGCATTTTCCACAGTGAGATTGCCCAAGTAACTAGGTTTTCATCAACGCACTTGGCCCAGTTAGCTCAATGATCCATTCGTATATGAATGGGCACCAACCAAGTGCCAGGTACTCTTGTAGACCTTGGTGATACAAAGGTAAATACAGGACATGAAACTCTTGACCTCATGTAGTTAAGTCTTGAGGCAAAATAGTCATAGAGTGGTTAAAAGAGTCAGCTCAGAATTAAGTTTGGGGTTTAATCCCCGGATGACCTTGGGCAAGTAACACAAACACTCTGTTCCCTCATTTCCCGTTCTGTAATGTGGAAATGACAACAGTACCCACCTCTATAGAGTTATGAGGATGAAATGTGTCCATGCATGTAAAATGCCTGATTGCTAATTAGCCTTGTAATCAGGATCATCTGTGACTGACGAACACTAGAAATTGCAGTTTGACAGAGAAAATCTCTCAAAGGAGTTAGGAACATGTATGAGCCTTGGTGGAGCAAAGGTTGAGGACCCTCTTCTGCCATCACTTTCCAGATTTTTCTTGCTCCTCTTCCACTTCCTCCTATGCCCCTGCCACCAAGTTTACATTTTGGCTCAGAATTTTCTAGAGCTAACAGAATTTCATAGGAGCCTCAGGATTAGTTTAAGCAACAAAATCACTTTCAGACTTCATGTGGTTTCCCTGATGGTCTGGAGGAGGGGTGGGAGGTGTGGAGTGAGAATCACTTGGTCCTGCATGTAAGTAAATAACAGTGGAGATTCCTTAACCAAAACCAAATTGTTGTTAAGTGCCATTGAGTTGGTTCTGGCTAATTACAACCCTGTATAAGGTTTCCAAGGGGCACTGATGAGCTTGAACCTCTGACCTTGTGGTTCAAACCAACCTTGTGGTCCAGTGCATTATCCTGTAGTGCCACTGTGAAAAATCTTAATTGTTGAATGAGAACAAAGAATAAACAGAGGCTTTCTGGATCTCACAGTGCCTGATTGTATTCACTTCATTTGTCAGTAGGTAAACACAAGGCCTTGTTTCTGCCTTTAATGTTGCACTGATAACAGTTGTATCCAGTCCTTTCTCAAGAATCCTGGCTATCTTCTTGCAATGTTAATTTCATTTGGAGACAAGCAATCTTATCTCCCCTCACGGACATTTCCCCTCCTTTTCGGATGCCATCAGTTGTGTTCCATAAATATTAGTCACCCAGAGAGAGGCCAGCACACGTGTTCATGCACATACACAAAACCCTTGTCGGTGATTACATTGCTAAATCATCATTTTAAAGATCTCCCGTAATAGTTGTGACTGCTCACACAACATATAGCAAAGCCCAAAAACCAGGACCACAGAGGTGCTGCTGCGTGAGTCAGTGGTGGAGTAAGCCACCTGGTACTCTTGCCCAGGGTGAGAGCAAGGAGTACAGGAAGGAGATGATTCTCTTGTCCCCCAGCTGCTCTCATTTCCTCCTATCCCTCCCCAGATCCTGATTCCAGCCCTGATGGTAACTGCTGAAAATGACCACGTGCTCATTCCAGAGATGTCCAAACATATGGAGAATTGGGTAAGGGAGTGGCCCTACACTGAGGTCTCTGGTACAGAGAGAGTGCAAGAGCCCCAGAGAAAGCCAGCAGCAGAAGACACACCTCCTTCAGCTGAGCCATCTCCATGGTGAAGGCAGCACCAGTTAAATCACTGTCGCCTGCCTCTTGGGAGCAGTAATCATGACTAATGCTGCTTTCCCCTGTGTGGATGTTGTCTCTCATCTAGTCATTCATTTATTCTGTAGGCTTTTGTTTTGTGTTGGGATGATACTTGGTAGTAGGCATGACTGGTACAAGGCTGCCTTCTGTGAGCTTACTGTTCATCAGTTAGTCCCAGCACGACAGGATGCACACACAGGAGAGGGGCGTGCAGGACATTGGGAGGGCAGAAGATGCGGCTGGAAGCAAAGGCTTCATTGAGGTGCTGACCATTGAATTGAGTCTTGATAATGACTAAGACTTGCCCAGTAGAGAGAATGGGAGAAGACAGGGAGAGGAGGCAGGCTAAAAGGCAGCAAGTATGCATGTTGTTTCAGATTCCCCACCTGAAGAGGGGACACATTAAGGATTGTGGACACTGGACACAAATGGAAAAGTAAGGAGATTCTGGGCCCCTGGGTGGTGGAGCAGGCTCTCCTACTTTAATTCTGCCCTGTCTCTGACACCCTCTCCCCCTTGGCAACCCTGTGGAGTAAAGGGGTCCAGACAAGTTTGATTTTTTTTTTTTTTCCTGTCCAGGCCTGCCGAGTTGAATCAAATCCTCGTTGAGTGGTTGGAAACAGATGCAAGAGACCCACCAGTGATCTCGAAGCTCTAGGGTGTGGTGTGTGGCAGCACCCAACAGGCACTTCAGGACTGTCCTCTCTTAGGAGCTGATCCCGGTGTCTGGATATGACCTTACTCACACCTCTGACAACAGCAACATTGTGCTCAAGGGATATGCAAAAAACAGTGATTTTTATTTTTAATAAATGAAATGAATCAGGGATGATACCATTTTAGCTGCAGAAACATCATGTGTGATTCATTCTCTGGATATAAATGTATCACCTTATCTCTAAGAATGGTTAGTATCCTACAGAGGTACAAAATGAGACAGCCAAGTGATGATTTCTCTTGAATTGACCAATTCATCGTTTGGGTGCAAAGCCAGCAGTTAATTTTGAAGTGTTTCAGCAGAGATTGTCTCCTTGATTCAATAAAGCTCAGATAACTGTGGTACTGCTTTTTGTTTTCATGTGAGAATGAAGCCTCACTGCCGTGGAGTCAATTCATATCCACCCAATAGGGCAGAATAAAACTGTTTCACAGGGTTACCGAACATGCCATGGGAATTCTCTTGGACTTCTAGCAAAGAGTCGCAGATTCCGGTGAGGTGTCAGGGATGCAAGACATGAGCAAGACAACAGGAGTGTGAGAAAGCAGTGTTAATAGAAAGTGAGAGTACACTCGGTAGATGAGCGGGCCCATCTCTGCAAGCCCCTGAGATAGACATCCATCATGGCTGCCTAGGGGTGTTTATTCTTTAAAATGCCCATCTCTGACGTTCTCGTAGCTCATAGGCTTTTCTTCTTTTTGTCTCCTCATTTAGTTATCTATCGTCTTCTACCTGTGATTGTTGGTGGTTTAGCAGGGTGTTGGGGGTGAGGGGTGTCTGGTCTGCTCCTCCTACCTTACATCCCTGATCTATAAACGGGAGCAAACAGTTTCATCTTTTGTCAAAGGAGTGGTTAATGGGTTTTGACCGCTGACTTTTTAGGTGCCTCCTGTGTCACAAGGACTCCTGGTGAGGGTGAAGGTAGACTGATTACATTTCCCACTGCTCTTCAGTCCTACTGTGATCCACCAGGCCCTGCATGCGCCCGAACAGTGCTACACAGAAAAACTGGCCCAGAGGATGAAAAGGGGCCATTCTGTGCTGTCTCATAGAGCAGTTGCTTGCCACATAGAGCTGTTGAGCACTTGAGATGTGACTCAGAAGACTGAGGAAGAGGATTTTAAATGTGATTTAATTTTAATGAATTTCAGTGTACACAGTCACATAAGGCAAGTGGCTACTAAGCAGCACAGACCTCGTCCCTGTCTTCCTCTCTGGGTTCACCCACTCCCTTGCATCCAGTCAGGCATCCAGTGTCTCTGGTATTTGTCTCTACAGTGTTGCTTCTCTGCTTCCTTCAGACCCTTGTCATATACCCACAGTCCTACCCACAACAGCCTTTAACTGGCTTCCCAGCAAGCTGGCTAATAATAGGCGGAGCTCTCAGGGACTGGTCATGAATGTTGCAGTGCCTCCCTATTGTATCCAGAATAAACCCCAAGCACAGGAGACTGCCTGGCACCAGCTCCCTCCTAGCTCTGTCCCCACTCACTCACTGACTCCCAACTGCCCTCTAGCCACGATGGTCCCCCAGAGCCCCTGCACAGACCACACTGACTCTCCTTGACCCTCAGCCTGTGCCCATACTGTCCACACACCTGATGTACTCCCATCGGCACTTACTTCATGAAGATTTTCCCAAACTCACCAGGCTGGGGAAATGCCTTTCTCCTGGTTCCATTGGCATAGTACACAAACATATACCAGTATACACTCACCTTCCTCTTGGCACTTCTTTCAGGGATAGCTTGCGAGGATGTGCACTCTCCAAGTTGAATGAGGACTAAGTTAGCCAATCAAAAGGAGTATGTGTGTCTGTGTGTAGAAAAAAAAGAGAGATTGGGAATGTTAGCATGTGCCATTTATGAAGTACCTCTGTGTGCCTGGAATACTTCTGTTCTCAGGAGCCTTCTCATTTAACAGGTGGGGTAGCTGAGACTCAGAGTAAAGTGTCCAACAGTCAAAGTCACATGACTAGGTTGGGGACCGAGTCTAAATTCAGATACAGCTGTATCTTCCAAACAAAAATCTCTAAATCGGGACACAGAATATCTTTGTAAGACTTCTGGACTGCCACTTCCCAGCTGTGTAACTAACCTGAGCCTCAGTTGCCTCATCAAAAGGGTACCTTAAGAGTGCCTGTCTTACAGTATTAAATGAAATAATACATGTCTGGAGCAGTGCTTGGCACAGAAAATGTGCTATAGAGCATTAGCTAAAAGATTTCTGTTGTATCCTAGGACAAGACCTATGAGGGTTAAAAGTATCCAGCCATACCATTACCTACATGCTTTTGGATCTGAGAAAGGGCTCATTTAAAAGGCAAATCTGTTACCTAGGGTGAGGGGATGGATCACTATATAAACCAAATAGCATTGTTTTACTAACAGAGTGTATCTAAACTTATGTGTAAGGGAGTGGTTGGGGAAAGCAAAGAAAAAGAATCTTAGAATCTTCTTCCCTAGAAGAAGCAGAAATGGAGAAGACTGTTCCCTGATAGTTCCAGTTTCAAAGATTCTATCCAGTAATCCCCATAAACTGTCAAAAATGCCTTAGAAATTCTACTCTTTGGGCAAATAAGAGTAGAATGAATCAAGTTCATGCAAGATCGCGGCCCCTAGAATATACTAGACTGGAAAAAAGCCTTAAGGTCATTCAAGAAAATAATAGGACTCTCCCGAGCTGTGTGTGTATACATTTCCACTTTGGGGAGTTTCTGTGGCACTCCGCTGCAGCGATGAGACAATGGTAGTTCACCGAGATGATAGGGAACATTTTCAGATGATGTTCTAAGGAGAATTTGCTTAAAGTATCTTTCAGCGTAGTGGTTACGAATCGAGCTGCTAATCTCAAGGTCAGCAGTTCGAAACTACCAGCCGTTCCTCTGGAGAAAGATGAGGCTTTCTGCTCCCGTAAAGATTTACAGCCTCGGAAACCCTGTGCAGGGTCACTATGAGTCGGAACCGACTCCACGGCACTTAACAACATCTTCAAAATGATTTAATTATACAATGTTATTTTTATTTCAAGACTCCAGAGGACATAGAAAGCAAATGCAGTAAAATCTGTGCGGACTGCGATGGAACAGGACTGCCTTTTTTCTCCAGTTCTCCCAAGTTCTCGCTGTTGACAGGTTCCCTGGAAAATACTAGAGTTTTCCTTTTCTGATAGGTGTCCACTGTTCTAGCGTAGAAAATATATCCTGTCTACAAATACTATAAATAGTATGCTGTTGTTGAGTCGGTTACGCCCCACGCAACCCTGTATAGGATTTCTGAGAAGCGGCTGGTGAGCTTGAGCCGTTAATCTCCCAGTTCAAACCGATTTTGCAATCCAACGCATTAACCCACAGGGCTACAGGCTGCTAACCTCAAGTTTAGCAGTTCGAAACTACCAGCTGTTCCGTGGGAGAAAGATGAGGTTTTCTGGTCCTGTAAAGATTTACAGCCCCAGAAACCCTGTGCAGGGTCACAGAGTTGGAACCGACTCCACGGCACATAACCACCATAAATATTATTTTTTGTTTGTCGTTATGTGCCGTTGAGTCAGTTCCGGCCCGTAGCGACCCTCTATAGGGTTTCCAAGAAGCGGCTGGTGACCTTGAACCGCCGACCACGTGGTTCAAACTGGCTTTAAAGTCCAGCGCATTAACCCACAGCGCCACACCAGTACTCCATAAATATTATTAAATCTTAAACAAGAGGTAAAACAAGTCAAAATAAACAGATCACTTGGATGAGGGTAACCATCAGTGTGATGCCATGATGAATTTCCAAAGTTCTGCCTCCACATAGGGCACAGAGAACAGGGGACTCTCCTACAACCACAGCTGATGGCAGCAAAGTGTCACATAAGCATGCAGGAACTACAAAAGCAGGGAGGGGGCTATTGCAGATAGGAAAGCCTGCAGACTCTCTGAGGCGCTTTGAGTAGGACATCACCACCAGCCATCAAGAGACATGAGTGGGAAAGTTCCTATAACAGAGTTTCTGTTCTTGTGCTGATTGGGGGAACTGGCCCAAAGCTATTTTCAAATAACATTTCACCTCTGGCAGTTCAGCTGTCAGAGATTCATGAGGTACTCAAGAAAATTAGTATCTGAATACTTAAATCAGTGCACAAAATAAAAGAAGTAAGCTCTGGCTGGCTGGAGTAGAACTGTATTAACTTGGTTGAAGGGAAAGGCAATACACATTTAGGATGGGGGGCATGGTCAACGCATGACTAAGGCAAAGGAAGATGCTGGGAGGTACACATTCCTGCAAGAACAGTAACAACAAACAATAATTCACAAATAGATATATAAGCTAAACAGGTGTGGATGGTAGGTGTACTCATAGGAAATACATCTATAAGCATGTATAGGTTTAACAGATGACATTTGTCTATAGATATTTGTATATACTGCAAATACAGTTATAGCATATAAGGGACAAAGTTATGTAAACTTAGCCATAAACTAAGAGACAGAGTCACTGGGCTTGACAGTTTAGAACTGTGATCTTGAGGGACATCTAGGTCACTTGTTACAGTCCATAAAGACAGTGTTTGGCATTCTACTTTGGTGAATAGTGACTAGAGTCTTAGAAGCTTGCAAATGACCATCTAAGATAAAACAATCCGTCTCTTCCCATCTTGAGAAAAGAGGAGTGAAGAAAATCAGAGACTCAAGGATGCAGTCCAAAGAGCTTATGAACCTCATGAACCACAGCCTTCAATAAAGCTTGGTGGGTTAATGTGCTGGACTTCAAAGCAGACAGTGGCCATTTACTACTACCAACTGTTCTGATTGTGATCACAATCGAACCATAGAAGGGAGGTCCTGGGCAGAGTGGGAGAGGAATGTAGAACAAAATTTAAAAAAAAAAGAAAAAGGAAAAAAGATCAGATTTATTGGCCTGATAAAGCTTGGTGGAACCCCTGAGACAATGACCTTTTGC